AAATTTTACATGCCCGGTCAAGCGGTCGTTGACCTTATATAATAGAAAGCAGGACAATATAGTTTACGTGCGCTCTGGACTCTTGATCGATACGCAAAAACCATATGTATATCATATACATTATCATTATGTGCATAACATAGCATGCTCTGTCGCTGTGTGTATATTCTGTAAGGGTAGGAATAGGCTATCAAACCCAAACCTTTTCGCAGGTACGGGATTGTCAGAAAAATGTTTATGAAAGCCGTTATGAACCCCCAATGCTACAGATATAGGCCTGGCGTGCTTGTGGATGTTGTCCGTGTGCTGGTTCGCAAACAGGCCACGGTCACGAGGTCTGGTTTATAGATGTGTTGTCCGCCACACACGTTTGCAGGGACACCAACATGCATCCAAGGTTGATAAATAAATAAATAGAGTGACCACAGGTACACTCGCCAGAAACGTACAGAACGACCTTATAGAGGTAAAGTTGATCCGCGAAGACCAGGCGGTTCTAGCCTGGGTACCATCCGGATTTTCGCTACGCAACGCTTGAAAAAATCAAGCGTTGCGTAGCGAAAATCCGGATGGTACCCAGGCTAAGGCGGTTCCACAAGTGCCATCTGTTGTTGTTCTGTCGAATTGAACGTGTTGCGGTGCGTAGATAAGAGCTCCTTGGTGACATTCGTTGTTTCCGATTCCGAATGCAGAAATGTATGTCCAGATACTAATATTTGCTATACACTTGATCTGGCCTGTCGTTCACAATTGACTTTGTCAGTGACTATGTCTTTACATAGCCTCTACCAGACTCACAACGCTGGCTATTTATAGTAGAATATTTGCCAGGGGAGTTTGACCGCCTTGTAGGACCTAGTACTAGGTTTGACTGGCCTTCGGAGGGAAAGATTTATAAGGGGGTCATTTAACTACCTCCTCGCGGCCGGACTCCCTTGGCCAATTTTAATCTCTTTTTTCCCCGAACTCTACGATCCGTATTCCCGTAGAAAGGCCTGGTGGATGCTAGTTTTTATATGCCTCAAATCGCCGCGTCACAATGTAACGTTGGATGCACTTTTGTCCGTTTTTGTTGGCACTATATTTTTCTTGTTAGCGGTTTTTAGGACAAACAGTAAAAGGAAACACAACAGAAGAAGAAGAAAGACACAAATTATTTTTATAATCTTCCATGGGTTTCATCGTTATAGTAAATAAATGGAACCCGTCATTTCTTTTCGGCAGCGTTTTGGAATTTGAAAAGGCTTGCGCTGTGGACATGTGCTCATGTTGGTGATATAAGGGGCTTTACGTTTTCAGGTTTCGGGGAAGGTTTCTGTTTGTTTACACCGCCGCTACAACAACAAGCTTGACCCCTTTCGCACCATC